ATAAAAGGTCAACAGATTGTTGTCCGTATTCCATTTAAAACGCCGACGGCCGAGAAGAAAGTGGCGCCACCGTTTGAGAACGGTGACGAACGCGAATAGCTCTCTCTTCCTAGCGTCGTCGAGAGTGTTGACGAGAGGCACCTTTTGGGAGAAATACTCAACCGGATGCCAACCGTCCTCGTGACACTGTTCCAACACCGCACCAATACCGTATCCCGAAGCGTCCGTAGTCACTTGGGTGGGTAGGGTGGGGTCGTATATACGGAGGGCAGGTTCGGCTTGCATCGCTACCTTCAACGTAGTGAACGCGCCATGGGCTGCGTCGTCGAACTCGAAGGGCACCTTCGGGGACTGAAGTCTCGACAAAGGAGCGGCCACTTTCGAGTATGACTCGATGAATCGTTGATAATATCCAGCCAAACCCATGAAAGAGCGTACATCCGTCGTGCAACGGGGTTCCGGMCAATCCACGATGGCTTGGATCTTGTCCGCTAAGGGACGAATACCTTTCGGCGTGACAAAATGACCCAAGTACTCAAGCTCTTGCTTGGCGAATTCGCACTTGTCGAGATTCGCTTTGTACTTGGCTAGTCGCAAACGATTCAGAACAACGTGAAGGTGTACGATGTGCTCGTCCAACGTCCTACTATAAACCAAGATGTCATCAAGGTAGATGAGGACGCTGCGATCGAGCAAGTCGTGAAACTCAGTCGTCATCGCTGCTTGAAAAGTTGCGGGGGCATTGGTGAGGCCAAAGGGCATGACAACCCATTCAAAATGCCCGTACCACGTCTTGAACGTGGTCTTGTACCGGTCTTGAGGCTGGATTTCAATCTGGTGGTAACCTGACTTCAAGCCCAACTTCTAGAAGTACGTCGCGCCGCCTAACCGCTCCAGGACATCATCAATCCGAGGGAGAGGGCCGGCGTTCTTTACGGTTTGTGTGTTAAGTTTCCGATAGTCGATGCATAACCGTAAATCTTTGTTCTTCTTCCGGACGAAGAGAACAGGTGCGCCGTATGGCGAGCAACTAGGGCGAATCCAGCCCTTGTYGAGAAGRTCATCGAGCTGTGCGCGAAGCACCTCGAGTTCCTCTTCGCTCATGCGGTAGATACATCCACGCGGAGGGACGGCGCCAGCCTCGAGAGTGATCCCGTGACGTATGGGCCGATCCGGAACCGTTCCGGTGGGAGCCTCGAAGACGTCTCTATACTCGTCCAAGAGGTGAGAAATGTGTGGGTCCGGCGGTGACGCGGCTGGTCTGTCCGGCGAGGGGAGAGCATGCAAGAATACAAGGCCCATCTCCTCGACGTCATTCCGAGCAATGGCGTCGCGAATTCTCGCAACGGAAACCACGTGACAAGCAATCAAAGTGTGAGGGGTCGCGACCATACATGGGACTAACACTCCATTCCGATCACGGATGTGAACGGTTCGATCATGGAAGTTCACCGGATGATCGGTGCTACGCAGCCAAGACATGCTTAGAATCATGTCGAACTTGGTGTCGAGGATGTCAAAAGACACCGGCTCGCACGCAAGTGGCGCAAAGTAGACCGGAACGCCGTCAACGCATCGGTCAATTGACTTTTGCGTGCGGCCGTCCGCGAGTGTAACTTGCGTAGGTTGCGTCTTCCTTCGAACGCGTGGGCCAAGACCTGCGCGGGCCATAAAGGCTTGGCTCATAAAGTTGCGAGACGCTCCGCAATCAATCAAGGCACTACAGGTTGCCTTTCCGATTTGAATGCGGATATAGAGCAAAGGTGCGTCGGTTTCGACGTACCTTTGGGTGGCGTACTCGCGGTCAATCTTCGCAAGATAGGAGCGGAGATCGACAACCGCTACCCCGTCGTCCGTCAACGGAGCTGGTACTGTAGTGTGCAAATAGGAGCGTAGAGTTGCCATCAAGGCGTTGCAATGCGGCCTTGGTAAGGTTCCGGTCGGGGGTAGAGGCATCCAAGCGAAGTCCTCTCTCGTGAGCGGGTCAAGCTCCTCAAGTCTTGACCACGCCGTCGAGTCCTCGGAAATCAGTGGCGAACTGACCGGATCACTTGCCGACGGTGTACAGGTTGCGCATACGCTAGCTAAGTGCACGTGGCTTGGCTGGTCTAATGGTGGTACCAGCTGGGCGGCATAATCCTCATACGTGGCACGAGAATCAGCGACTAACGCATGCTCCCCGGTAGTGACATCGATTGCTAGCAAGGCAACCGGGTCCGGCGGAGTGAGGAGAGACGTCGCCCCTCTCCTTGCGTAACTCAGTTTCCCGAGTTTGCTGGACGGGGTACACGTGCCTTGCCGTTTTCGAGGCATTGTGTGGTCAAATGAGTGACGTCGTTGCACCAAAGGCAGTATCCGTACTTTTGACGAAGGTCATAGACATCCTTGGTTATCTTGTAACCCGTCCATGGCTGCTGCCGAGTTCCCGTCGATGCTGTCTCTTGTGTCGCCTTGTTCTTCCGAACTCTCTTGGGACGCTTCGGCGGGAGCGCTGCTACAATTCCTCCATCACTCGAGGATGCTGCTGCAGCGTGGAGATCRTCTKTTTCTTCAGAAATCACGACATTGTTATGTGTCGGACGTTGATAGCCCTGCTTAGCCACATAATGCGGCTGGGACTGCCGTTCGTTTGCGGCCTTGTCATCCGTTTGGATGACTAAGTTCGCACGATCCAGAATGACCTGGAACGTGTCATAGTCGTACTCGTTGCCGAGTGCCGACCGCAGTCCCGCGCACGATCGCGRGAAGAACTCGGATCGTTGATTTGGAAAACTCAAATCGAATCCTGGCGTGGTCACTATCTTCTGCCACTTGGTTGTCCAGTCTCGAGTTGGCATATTTCCTTGAGAGCAGGTGTACACCTCGTTCATGGCCGCCTTCACGACGTTGCGGACCATGAACCGGGTGARCCATAGCTTCTCGAACTCTKTCCACGTRATGTGCGTGTKGAGTTTGGCGATGGTGCATTTGTTGGTAGCCGCCAGATGGTTCATCCAAGCCTGCGCTCCTCCAATTAGTTGCAAGTAGAGTGCCTTCATCATGTCGTCTGCCGGGACAGTGCGACATGATGCTTCCGTGAGGAAACGTTGCCACCATGTCAAGGCGTCCGACTTGTTGTAGTCGTCGAACTCGCTGATGTCGAAGTGCGGCATCTTGTAAGTCTTTGTAGCGGCGTCCGGTCTCGTCTGCAGCTTGGTGATGTCCGTCTTGATGGCGGCCACCGTGCTACTGATCGTGTCCGGCCCATTGAAAACACCTATGTCGCCGATGATGGTGACGACGTCATCGATGCGCTCATTGAGTTGCTTCGTCGCGTCTGTCGTGCAGCCTGRCGCTGCTGAGGCGTTAGCCTCAATGCTGTTGATGCGTGCGAGAGCGGAGTTCAACARCTGATGYTGTTGCTGCTGCTGCGTTGCTTCGGCGCGGATGGCAGTTGTTAAAACAACAATGTCTTGCTGGTACTTTTGTCGCTGCTGTCGTTCCGTGCGCAGATGTGCCTGCAGCAGTGTGTTATTCCACATGATGCCTCTCATCATGCCCAACATCAAGTTAGCCAGGTGAGTCCTCTCTGCCTCCGCCGGTGTCGGATCTGCCTGCGCGTCCGAAGGCACAAAGATCATGCCTTGGAGGAACGTTGTCCACTGACTTTCACTATGAATCAGGGACTCCGTACTGGCGGCATTCCGTTGGTCTCGTGCCGCTGCGTCAGCCTCAGCAGTCTGCTGAGCTTGGGCTGCCGCCTCATTGGCCAGCCGCTGACGTTCTGCCTCTGCTGCCTCCTGCTGAGCCTTGGCGGCAGTTACGGCATTTGTAAATACCTGTAGCCGCCCAAAATAGTCAGCCAACGGCTCACTGGCCCTTCGGACCGGGCATGCGGGAAGAGCTCCGGTGGTGTCCGGTACCGTCAATGTTGTACTCGATGCCGCTGGAGTCGTCCGCCTGCTGAGTCTCTGTTGCTGAGCCTTGGTTCGTGGAGGTACCGTAGGTCGAGCACGAACTGCGAGCCTGACACTGCGCCGTGGCAGTGCCCTGGTATCCTGTTCCATCGACATCAGTGTGTACTGATGCGGTACTTGAGAGGTCCCGGTGGTCACAGAATACAGGGAGGGTAGGGAGAGTGGGAACAGGGGTAGAACAATCAAACAATACGCATACAGTCCCCTGTCCCACTGATGTACTATAGACAGCTAATCAAACAGAGAAATAAATTTCCCGTAAACCATTCAAAAATTCGTAATAAGGAATTAATAACGATTTAATCAATAAAATTAATTAATGATAAATAACGAAATACTCCTAATGATGATCAATAAAACAATGTTTGTAATAAAGATAACCAATAATCATTATTTGCAATAAAGATAATCAATAAACAATAATTGCAATCATGATACTAAACGAATTTGAAAGGTATTATGATTAGGTCTCTTTGAGATCACTTTGAGATCACTTTGAGTCCGGGAGTTCACCGTTAATGAGTGAACTACCCAGAAGTTGCAGTTTGAGGGTCAGATACGGCTTAGTGTGCTAAAAAAAAATTCGGAAAATTTCAGAAGAAAAAACTCTCGAATTTTCAAAAACATGAATTTTTGGGAATTTCCACCGTCAAAATCCGATTCTTAAAGGCCTTAACCTGTTTTCGGAATTTCTCAAACAAGGGGAACGGAAAAAAAAAATTTCACGAAAATTTCGGTCCCAACCCTAATTTTCCGCGTTTCCGCGAAATTTCCGGATTTACAGTCCCAAAACGTTCGAATTTCCCCAAGTTGATCTAAAACCCAAAGATTTTCGTAACCCTAATTTCCAATACTGAAAGACAACGGAAATCCAAAAGAAAACGAAATATAGGATTTACAACAAAATGCCGAAAAACGGAATGCTGAATGGAAATCAGAAACGCCGAATTTCAACATGATACTGATTCAACCCTAATTCGTGTAAAATCAGAA